TCTAGGTTGTGTCCAGTGAACGCTGTTTCCATGACTTCATCAATAGCGAAGTTAAAGAGGAAAGGTGACAGCAAGCAAGCTTGTCTCACACCGCTGGAGATATTGAAGGGTGACGACAGTCTGCCATAAACTCTCCCTCTGCCTGAAGTATGCGCACACAGCGCGTTGATAATGTTTACATATTTATCGGGCACACCTTTTCTTAGCAGACAGTCCCAAAGTGCACACTGATCAACCGAATCATAGGCACATTTGATGTCGAGAAACACGACAACGGTGGGTTGCCAATAAACATGGCAGTGCTCAAACAATTGACGCAAAGTGAAGATGTGGTCGATGCAGCCTCGATTTCGACGAAACCCGGCTTACTCTTCGCGGATCTGGCCTTCACGAGAGCCAGTCAATCTGTGGAGAAGGACAGGGGAAAGCTATTTAGAGATAATTGGGATCAGATTGATCTCCCTATGGTTGCCACATTAAAAACGAGAGCTTCCCTTGAAAATTGGAACTATAACATAGTGGCTCCAATCTATCGGGACAATTTTCTGCTCCCAATGTTCAATTAGTAACTCGTTCAAATCATCCACAAGAGCAGGTCTTCCACCCGAAGTTGCAGAGAGCTGGGGAAATTCTATCTACACCAGCGGCCTTATGCAATTTCAACAATCTGATCTCACGTTCGACTTCGGCGCGAGGGCAGGTCTAAGGAGACGGCCCAGGGAGAAGGGAACTCAATGTCGGAAAGAGAAAGCGATAACTCAGATTGGTTAAACTACCTTGCAAAGTATTTTTGTTCGTCGCAACCAGCCGACAATTCAGATATGTCGACCAGCTGCCCGGAAAAGCACCAGACGGCCGTTTCGCCCTATTGGGGCTCATCAGTGGTGCACATCCTTCGGTCCTCTGCGGAGGATCGAACCCATGACTGCTAATTGCTCTTGCCAACTGGCTCGCAGCTTATGCAACTGCGCCATGGAGGACGGTATCTGACTATCGTGAATTGTTAGCTAAATGCGATATAGCCCGACGCATCCTCCAATGCCATGCAGATGACAGCGGTCGGCCTTCCGGCGTCAGGACTTCCTGGTTCCGGCAGCTATGAATCGACATAGCATTTAATGCAATCCGTACGGGCGAATTGGTATTACTTATGAATGGAGGGATTTTGGTGAGTATTTTTGTTCGTCGCAATCAGCCGACGATTCAGATATGTCGACCAGCTGTCCGGAAAAGCACCAGACGGCCGTTTCGCCCTATTGGGGCTCATCAGTGGTGCGCATCCTTCAGTCCTCTGCGGAGGATCGAACCCATGACTGCTAGTAGCTCTTGCCAACTAGCCCGCAGCTTATGCAACTGCGCCATGGAGGACGGTATATGACTATCGTGAATTGTTAGCTAAATGCGATATAGCCCGACGCATCCTCCACTGCCATGCAGATGACAGCGGTCGGCCTTCCGGTGTCAGGACTTCCCGGTTACGGCAGCGTCGGGCTATATCGCATTTAGCTAACAATTCACGATAGTCAGATACCGTCCTCCATGGCGCAGTTGCATAAGCTGCGGGCTAGTTGGCAAGAGCTACTAGCAGTCATGGGTTCGATCCTCCGCAGAGGACTGAAGGATGCGCACCACTGATGAGCACCAATAGGGCGAAAGGGCCGTCCGGTGCTTTTCCGGACAGCTGGTCGACATATCTGAATTGTCGGCTGATTGCGACGTACAAAAATACTCACCAAAATTCTTCCATTCATAAGTAATACCTTGCAAAGTGTTCGGCCACACGCTCCAAGCGTTTTGACAAGCTGTGGATGGGCTGTCCACTCTTGTCGCGTATTGTCTCGCTAACACCAGGTCTCCGGCTGCCTAATTCCCCTAGCAGACGGAATAACTTACGATGATTGCCAACGGTAGCGGCTGTTTCCATTTCCGATGCACGATGAGACCAACAGGCTTCACCGTTTATCTTCAGGCTAGCATGCAGTTCTGACCTGAGATTTATGCGAGTCTCATTGTATAAGCTTCCGGCCGGAATACGATGGCGAGCATCCCTAAGTTCCAGACACTTTGTAGATATCCAATGTCTAGGTTGGCAATTTGATTTTCCACATGAAGATATGCCTGCTGATAGTAACGCTTGACGAAAATGCGACCAGTGATTTGTGATGTTGTTCAGTGGACGCTCACTCAGCCCGGATGCCAGCGTAATTGGATAGGCATTCAGAACATCTGGCTTCGCCAGCTGACTGGTGTCAATGCACTCAGAGCGAAGTTGTGGACGTCCGCCGAAACGTACCCGCAGATCAGCACACACAAGAGCGAGATCGGAGTCCACGCGTGCTCCAAACCCAGCGACAGTTTTGGCCACAGTCTCGCTAGCAGTAACTAATCGCGATGTGATCGATTTGCGTCTATGGGTGGTGGGCGCCAAGTCATTCTCCGGTGGGCTGTTTCAAAAGTTTATGCTCGCGAGAAAGAGACGAGCATATTCACACAGGTGTAACAACCGCTCACTGTTATCATTTCGGGAACCTACAACATGTTGGCCACCCAGATGAAACTCACCAGAAGACTTGGGTTTTAAGAGCACCAGCAAGCATCACAGTATCCGTGCTTCTTCTGTAACGAAGAAACTCGTTAAGTTGGTGATAGAAATCATTTTTCACCGAATCAGGGCCGCAAGGACAAACAGGCACCATTTGTACACGCGCGACTTCGAAGCCTGGAACGAGCCAGCCAGCGTAACGGCGCACGTCCGGCTGTTAACAGGGATCCAGTCGATCAGGGCAGCTTTAACCCGGAGACTTAAAACAATGCCGACGCCGGCTTGACTTGCATTTGAAGCTGCGTCATCGCCAGACAGGCGCAATGAGAATGTGCCGCCATTGTCGCATATGCGGGATCGCAGAGGAAGAACGGAGCTCGAATTTTGCAGGCGCGTTTCCGATAAACAGCAAATATCGATTGAGAGAGTCTCGAGGGTTCGGGCAAGTGCTGCCTGCTATCCGATATGTAGCAAAGTGCGCACGTTGAGGCATGCCAGTCTTAGCGAGGATCAAGGACCCCAAAGAGAAACGCATGAACTGATGTTGTCCGCTTGGTTGAACATGGACTTGTCGACTAGATTGGAGCGACGTCATGCGATTGTGTGTGAATTGAAACTGGAAGACAAGCGACTATTGAAGCAAGGTGGGGGAGCGCCAAGAATTGGGGGATTGAAAATGGGGGGATAAAAGTAAAGATGGAGCGGGACGGTAAGGATGAAAAAGCACAAAAGAGGGAATAAGAAGGCGGAAAGGCTTGAGCAGTAGCAAGCAAACCCCTATGCACTCTGTTCGATGCAGCAGATAGGGCGCCGTTTATTATCCTCTGCGACGGCCAGAGCATCAAGAGATTGTTAGAAGTAAAGGTCATGGTGTATGTGTGCGCACGATACGGTTAGATTGCCCAGGTAAATATAGAACGATTATATTCCTCAACCAAAGCCCTTGGTTCAAGAACCTAGCCGCAAGGTAGCGGGGTTTTGGCACTAGACTTCAGAGCCCGTTTTATGGAGTAAGGAGCCACCCTCACTCCAAGCCTCAACCTGAAGGGCCAGGCGACTGAGTTTGTCTGGCCTTTGACCAATCTGGTATGAGTGGCTCTGAAGGTGCAAAAAGCACCACCCAGCATACCTCAATGGATCACTGAGGCACACAAACCATTGCACCACGTTAAGGTCCAGTCACATCGCGATGGATGAAAGTACCAAAGAAAGAACTCATTTTGCTTTCTGCCTTCAAAAGCGACAGTGCGGCTGATGCCCTGTCCAAACGTTGTTGTAAAGACCTGTTTCGCGGCTCGTCTACGCACAGTATGCTACAACAAGCCTGTGCTCGCAAAACCTTTGGCTCGATCAATGCTTGTTTATCAGCACTCGTGCTCCTGTGGTGCACGATACGTGAATCGTACTACGAGGCGGCTATCACACAGGATTCACGGACACATTCTGAAGTGGTTTTACAGAGCCGAAGCGAGGTCTTCTAATAGCTCCATCATGTCGCATCTCTTACAGTGCGGTCACGCAGGGACGGAGAACGACTTAAGAGTTACCTATTCCATTCCGGAGCGTTACTCGAGCGGATTACGGAAACATCTCCTATCCATTGCTGAAATCATCTACATCCGCTACCTCAAGCCGAAGTTGTATGTACAAAAGCAATTAGTACACACCAGTTGCGTGTACTGTTGCCTACGACTGACGTTGCGCGATCCTTTGATTTGTGTCCCAGTTACTGTTTGTTTGTGAAAGTGATTTGTCCTTGGACATAATCTGCTACCTTCAGTGACCGTATTCGACCACCGCTCAGCACCATTAGTTCACGCACCAGGCTTCGATGGTTGCGCACGCCAGCCCACCGACTCCCTCAACGTGCGCTGTTTGCACATCCGGGGTCTGGAAGAAGAGAAGGGGAGACCAAGCGATGACTTGGTCAAGAGGAATGAGGGCCCTTACTTCGAAGTTGGCCTCGGTTGGAGCCTCTCAGCTCCCTGGTTGGAGACCGAAGGACGATGAACACGTTTGGCTGGATACACTTGTTGACATGGCTAGGAGCTGACCTCAATGGCGTTTGTGCTGTGAGTTCCTGTCTCTCCCCTCCAGCTTACCTTCCCCTTCCAATCAGGATATCATTTACTAGGCATATTATAACTACTTTTTGCAGAACAAGAGCTGTTAACTCTCCGGAACGATGCGCATCCGTTACTGGTGACTCAGTCGGCATGTCTCTGTTGCACGTTTTTCCTTTTTATGTACTGCGGCACAATAGCTGAGGTATACTGCCCATGGTTTATCGATTCATTTCCGTTGGAATTAAACTTGCAAATCAATACACAGCTCTATGCGAAACATTTAGCATGTAATCAACATGTAGTCTGGGTCTCACGGATTGTCGAAAGGAAAAAAGCTGCCGATCAAGAGTAGGGGGAGAGTGAAGCAACAACAAAAAATAACGCAGACTTGCCTGTTTTATTACAGTGCAGGCAAACGATGGCGAGAGAAATTTGGCGCATCACCTCTATCGGGGTCAAATTCCATTGCGACAGACCATTAGAAGTGTGTGAGCGGAACACCTCGGCTAGACTGGCGACACAACGCTGCATTATCAAGTAGTGAAAATTGGCCGTGCTACCCTAGGGTAAAGAACAAAATACCCATGTTTCACGAAGTGTACACACACAGGAAAGTGTTACGAAAACGTCCCAGATGAAGATTGTTGTGGCGGGGGCAAACAGAGCGGACGAGAAAAGTGGGTACAACATGAATCGTGTGGGAACTCAGCTTCGGTGTAAGGCGTATAGAGTAAAGTGCATTAATCAGAATGAGAGAAAAAGGCAAAGAAACTGGACAATCACAGAGGTCAAAGAAAATACGGTGTCAGAAATAAGCGTCAGCGATGCACCAATTGCCTAAACGTAGACCTGTAAAAAATAAGATGGCTTTGATCAAACAGTGAGCCGGTAACTTGAAAAAGAAATTCTACGTGATTCCGCTAAGCAATCATTTAGTGAGTAGAGTTGAGGGAAGGGTAAAAACTAAAATGCGTCGGAGTATGAAAATGCGGTACATAAAATAATGCCCGAAAGGATAGCATGTTGGTTGCTGAGGAAAAGAGGGTGATATCCTGCAAATGTATAAGAATTTTAAGGCAAATTGATCACATGTTCGAAGTGAATCGTTACTTCTTAAACAGTCCACATCTAAGACAAGTGCAGAATGATGTTGAAGAACCAAAGTGAAATCACTCCTTGTCATCAACTGACTGGGGAGAAGTTCCAGCATTAGTTCCACGGGATCTGCATAACAGACAATGGTTGAATATACGCACCTTGATAGCTTTGTAACCATACGACAAAAATAAAACCTAGTCCAGTGTCTTATCGTAAGAGCAAGAAAAATATGGTCCAAAAACACAATCGAAACAGAGCGCGCCGTAAGAAGAAAAGTGTTCCTTGATAGCGGCTATCACGAAGCCTTCACTGACGGGAATCATCATCATCATAATCATCATCTTCATCATCATCCCCACCACCATCACCACCGCCACCACCATCATCATCATTTAGGTTAGCCAGAGGTGGGGCACACCTCAGCTACTGTGCCGCAATACATAGAAAAAAGGAGAAAAAAGCAACTGGTGCAAGCTGGCTGAGCTACCGGTAACGGATGGCCATCGTTCTAGTAAGCTACCAGCCGGCCACTGTGCATCAAAAATAAGTCCCTGTGCAAAATTATATAAGGCTAAATAATGAGATCGTGGTTGGAGGGGGAGGCTAAGAGGGATGGGGTGGGACAAAGAAAAAGCACGAACGCCACTGAGGTCGGTTCCTTGCTATGTCAGCAAGTGTGTCCAACCAAACGTGTTCATCGTCTTTCGGACTCCAACCAGGGAGCCGAGATGCTCCAACCGAGGCCACCTCAGAAGTGAAGGCCTTCATACCTCTCGACCAAGTCATCGCATGGCCACCTCTCCTCTTCTTCCACCCACACCCCCGGCGCTCAAATAACGCACGTCGCGGGAGTCGGTGGGCTGGCATGCGTAACACGTGGCCGAGCCATCGGAGCCTGGTGCGTGAAATAACGGTGCTGAGCGGTTCATTTCCTTTTCCTGTGCCGTAAACAAGGCGTGGAACACGCTCGTTGCTCACGCGGTGTTTCCACCAGATGTGAGCTAATTGCGAAGGCACCGGTGGTCGAACGTAACTAGCCTCTTCAGGTCCGTTGCTTTAAGGGGCCAGGTTTCACAACCGTAAAGGGAATTTGCGAAGTGAATGTGTCGATGCCAAAGCACCCACAGTAAAAAAGAAACCCGCCTACTTACCGTCACCATCCAAGGGAGACAATAGTTCTGAACACCTCAGCAAACGACTACGAGCAGCCGTCATTAACAGGTATGGGACGCAAAGTTACGCATCATCTTCACATCTACGTCTATGTTACACCTGTGGATGTCATCTCTTTCTGAGTGTACCAATCTACCTGTTCCTGTGAGACAAGCTACATATGTCCACTACGAGACGTTTGTCTGGACGCGTCCACGAGCATTACCCAGCGTGGTTAAGTCGAGAATGGAAAACGTGCATCACCGTAATAGTCGCACACCTAATCCGTACGAATCATCCCGTCGTTATCGGTAAAGCCTTTCGCTAGATCTATCGTGTGAAGAGTGCCCACTCCAAACTAATCAGATGCCAAGCCCTTGTATTGGCGGAGGCGTTCGCGATTCGTCCTGACAACCCCAGTGTGTGTGTGTGTGCATAAATAGTTTGTTAAGGCTTTGGCTTCACCATGGCCAGCTGTCGTCCGGGTAGCTTGCGTGTGAACAAACCACACATGTTTGGCATTTCGATGCCTTCATTTCCTAACTACTCAATCCGCCCTTTCATATCACAACCATGTAAATGTGTTATATTCGGTCTGACGATGAATCACCGAAAATGTGCTTGTTTGCTAGGCCGGTTTTTTCATGACTGAAATGGGAAGTACTCACCTTTTGAAGCACTCTTCAAGTCAAGGAAGACTATCTTGACAGGGTGTTTGTCGGTTTAATGATGTTCAAATACTTACCGAGGCGCTCTCTGCTTACGCAACGGCAGTGTGACTTTCGATGATCTGCTTAACTCGATGGTCAGGGAGTTGCCAATGTAAGGAGCATGCGAACAGTTTTGAGGTAAAATAGATGAGATACACAGCTCGATGACGTTCACATCATATATTTAGCTTTCTGAAGGTTACAAGTACATCTGGTAATGAATGCACATGCTAATTCCTCCTCCACCCAGACCCCAATGGGTGAGCCCAATACATCAGCAGCAGTAGAGGGAGCTCGTGCGGGCCAGGTGCCCTGATCCGCATCGGCGACTTCAGTCAGCGCCGTATCTCATCCGTACTTGGAGCCGGGCAGAGTAAAGGGATTTTTCTAACAATAAGAATACAACACGTTTGCACATCTTTCAAGAGGACGCTATGTCGGTGGAAGTATACGACCGTATTTCATAGCCGTTGTCGCGCACACCAGAGGTTTGCTTGGATCCGTACGCAGGAAGAGTTGGAACATCAGAGACGCACCCTCTATCTTAAAAGCTCTCGCAATCCACCAACCTTAGCGGGCGATTCCAAGGACCTTGGTTAAATTCCGCTTCACGGTGCTAAGGAAATCTAATGTTGGCATCCTGAAGGTGGAATCTCCAGCCTTTTAGGCAATCTAACCACAGCCACGGAAATCCATCCGCTAGTCCAAATATAAAGTCGACCGTTGCTTTGCACTGGAACATTGCTCTTTATCTGTTTCAGATTTATCAGTTTTCATAGTACACGTGAGCGGCAGGATTTTTAGATGTAATCTTTTTAAGGTATTCATCCCATTAGTTCAAAAGTTATATAACACAGCCTAGTCCGGAAAAGCATCAGACGCGTTTTGCCCTATTGGGGCTCGTCAGTGGTGCGCATTTCCTAGGTCCCCCAAAATGGGGATCGAACCCATGACCGCTAGAGGCAGATGCCAACTAGCCAGCAGCTTAAGCCACTGAGTCATGGGGGAAGTTGGCTGAGCTACATAATTTGGAAGCTAACTGAGACATAGCACCACCTATCAGCTTTCACTATGTTTGACATGCTCTTTGGTTAGACTAGTTAAAAGTCACCAATGCTGTCCAGTGCTGAATTTTCGAAAATGAACTTCGAGATACTGCGCGTCCTACGCGAAGCTACCAGAGGATGCCCCGTAACCTGAGAAATCTTCGTCCGGATCGATAAACTGGGCTTCGATACTCTACCATCAACAGATTGCAGATTCGGGACTGACTAATCCAGTGACACTTGTGTCCTTAATGGCATTTTCCCCAGCCGTACAAGGTTTTTAGAACATCCGCAGTATCTAATGGAAAATGCATCCGTTCAAGCACATAAAGTTTATATTGAAGTAACCAAAAAACTAGAGCAAAGTTTTTGAACACGGCTGCATACCGCACTCTTTTTCGGTCACGGTGAAGATAAATGTTGCAATTCTGATTGATTTTGTCTACTTGAGAACTGCAAACACTCAAAAACAAGTACTCTTGGAGTGGTGCCATGCAGATGCACAAGATTGTAAGGTCGGAGTAAAAGTAAGTTTCAGATAAATCAACAATGATGGGCTGAGGTGTAGCATGCGAGACTAAAGGTTAAGTGGCCAATTCGAGTCTGGAGAGGTGGGTGAGTCGATGCGAATACTTGTGTTGCACGGTAGTACAAAGAGAAACACGTCGTTAAAAAAATTGGCTGTCATAAGCATTAGTCTAACATTGGCCTCGTTAGTGTTAACCGGTTGCCGATAAACGGCGCACATGAGCATTGGTGTTGCTTGATATCATCGCATCGGTCATGAGAATTGTCCCCTTTAAACCTTTGAGTTGTAGTTGGAGGGGAAGAACATAAAAACAGCAATACTGAAACAATTGTGCCCTTAGTGCATGTCGCCATCTATGAACACATTGCTTCGGAAGCCAACAATGGCCAATGACCAGTCATACCGTTTGGAATGTGTGACCAAGGGGTTTGGATGGGAGAGAATACAAGAAACGTGTCTCAAATGCTTATGCGGAATCAATACGCATCATACACACAACACAACGAATGACTCGTGGGAATCAAAGTTTGCTGAAAGAAGCGAGGAGGGAGATGGTATCAGAGTACAGATGAGACAGAACTCACGGTCCAGAAACACTTGACCAAATTCGGGTGAAAATGCCGAAGCAGAATGTCGTGTTCTCTGCGCCAGTGCTTTTCCAACCTGGCCTGACGAATAATCCGCTTAACAGCGGTCTGACGTTCACCGTAAGTACCGCTGAAAGAAACCCGATCGCAAATGACACATTTGGAACCAAGGGGTATAGGACCCAACAGAAAGCGACAACGTGGACAGCGAGGAAATGAAAGTGTAAACGATATTTCAGTCCGAAGAAAGTTTGCAACCTACTGGGTAGGAACTGTTTCGTAAATGCATACGGGTGGTATATAAATTCGATGTGAAAGCAACAAGCCGACACGAGTTAAATGGGTGAGATGCTGCACCGAATTTGGTGTAGTACGAACGTAACAGCGTTGTGCGATTCACAACCATAGTGTGTGTGTGTGTGTGTGTGTGCTGAACGCTCCTTCGAGAAAAGAAAACAAAAACACTCCGAGGTAATCACCACCTTTGGCGAACTAACAAATGACTACAGGGACAGATAAGCATTGAAGATCAGAGCGCACACACTCAGTGTCCCAAACTTACGTCCAAAAAAGATGGAAAAGGCCACACGGCCGCAACTGAGAGAGGCAACCAACGACTGTCGAATACTAACATTACGGTGAATTAATCAAAAAGAGGAGTCCGCTTGCCGAGAGAAGATTAGACGTAAGGTGAAGTTTAAACAGCACCTTTAGAGACACACTGACCGCAGTGTACAGAGAACAAATAATGTGGAACGGGAGTAAAAAGTTTCACTAAAATGTCGAACATTACATATGCTTAAATAAATCCCCGCTGTTATGTAATAACAATGAAAACGAAGGCTTTTGCGGGGGAGCGCAGCCATGCACTTCCCGATTCGTATGTAGTACATAGCGTAAACACATGACGGACACGAGGCAGCGCCGTACCTGCAGTCAAGGACAGAGGTACACAAATGATCACTACAAATCAAGGCAAACTTCATAATTGGCTAACATTTTGTGGGTTCCCGATACATCCCGAAATACCGTGCCGCAATAGTTCTGTAGACGAAGACAAGCACAATGACGAGAACCAACAGCATGCATTGGTATGCGACATGAGTTCGAAACCAGTAAATCGGCGGGTTGGCTGCCTTAAATCAACCAAGAACACCCAAGTGTGATAAAGTCAATTCACAGCTACAAAACAGTAGACGATGTAAAGGGAATGTAGTTAGATTGCCGAGTGCCAGAATCGGTGTTTCTGTGGCTGTCAGCGTCTTATGTGCTGCGTGAATGGGCCAGGATTATTGAGCAGAGAATCAACAAACGCTGCTTGTTCAAAGCATCCGGTCATGTTTGACCGGGGGGAGGGGGCAGTAGTATCTTTGTTACAAAATGCCAGCTACGATCAACCGATGATTCAGCCTAGTAGATCCGTCGGCCTAGACAAAGCCACTGCAATTCTGTGAGCAAGTTATCTGAGCGACATGGTGGGATTCGTTGCCACATGCAAACAACTAAAATCAATCCTCGTAATTGTGTTTCACCGAGACGCGGATGCATCGTAAAAGGAAGACAAGGTCGGCCACAAATACTCGCATGAATTGAAGTAATCCTACGGTCTCGGGAGCAATGTGTCGCTCCTAAGTGTTGAGTGGATGAGCTTAATATACACACCAATGAAGTGGAGTGAGGCTGGCAGGGCAGCCAGCACTATACGGGCACTCAACTATCTAGCGTTATCTAGTTGGCACTACACAACACCTGGTGGACTCCAACTCATGAGCAAACTTTGTTCGCAACTCATCGAAAGTACATGTCCCTAGGGAACTAATCCGACCTAGATTGCTATCCTTTCATGCCAAATCCAAAACAGTTCCTGCTGAAACCGTAAACAAAAAGGTAAATTAAAATTTCACCAATGAAATAAGCACTGAACCACGTTCCGTGTTGCCAACTGTTCCTGAAGTAGCCGCATTCTACTCGACATGAGTAATGGAAGTCTCTCGCAGAACATCTACACCAGGATCCCTCGCATGCTCATCAACGGTAAGATACCGAAACTAAGCTACATCTGTGGTGTACACAAACGTCAGTCATCACAGTATGTATGTGGTACATTCGGCAAATTCAACAGAAAATCAGTCTACGTTCCTCATCCAACAATCAACTCATCGGTATGTCTGATACTGTGTGCATTACTGTACGTATGCTAGCGCAGTGAATGCTGGTTCATCAGACCAAGTAATCGGGTATCCTAAAGTTCACGTCAGGTTTCCGAAACGCTATTCCAAATATGCATAAGGTCCCATACTCCAAGAATCTCAATGCCATCGTGTGAAAATAGCGGTGCATCTTGATACTCGAAACATTTTCGACCTAGTTGCAAGTGTGTCCAACTCATCAATGACAAGAGGAATGTACGGTGCAGCAGTCATCCACAGACATTTATACCCCAGCACTCCCATAACCAATTTGGCTTAAGGCAAAACTTATTCGTCAGTAAAACGACAGTTGCTCAGAGGCGGAAATTTCTGCCATATTGTTTAAAACGGTCCAAATAGTGCAACAGGTGTAGACGACATCATCCAGTAACATGTGGGTCGTAGCCAAGAATTCGTGAATTTTTGATGAGCAAAGAACTTCGTTTGACAAACACACTTCGTTTAGTGCAGTATAAGTTGAATCGAAAACGCGAAAAACGACAGGAAAGATGCCGAAACGATCAAAGGATTTAGAAATGACATGTACATATTCATTATTGTGTCGAAACAGGAGACTATAAACAAGAAAAGAATGTCAAGTTTTAAATTCCTGGTTTAGAATATACCAGTAGACCAGGTTTATTGTCTAAAGACAAAATCGAACACGCAATCCAATCCAGACATGTACTGATTTAATGAGGACATCCTAACTATTCGTGAAGCTCAAGGTTTCAGTTGAGAATCCAAGTCATCCGATAAACAAGGTCACTTATCAGCGAGTCTGGTGAGCAGCTGTTATCACAGTCGCACATTCTGCACAATCGTGACACATTGAGAAGTTCAGACGCCGCGATGCAGCCTTGGTTCAGTTCAGAGATGATATCAAAGTTGTCCAATGCCTTATCCGCACAGCTACACCGGCATGTTGGTGTGCAGGAATCTGATTATTAATGCACCCGCCATGGTGTTATTCCTCAAATATATGCTAGATAGCTGATACCAATACAGTTGTGGTGGTGGTGTTTGCTCTAGCCACGCAATGATGTTATTAGAGCGCTCTTTATTTCGGGGGACACTGCACGCATTCCACTAAGGGATGGAGCGCGTAAGTCCCCGAAGCTCCACTGCTCTTCATCATCGCCATTGGTATTGCGCCCTTGCCACTTTGTAGGTGGGCAAGGGCATTCTGCGTTTCACCTGATCTCTGGGTTTCGCCATTTCGGATCTTCGTTTCGACTTGTTGCATTTTGCGCAGTAATTGTTCCACAGATAGTTTAAGTGCATGTATCACACATTCGGCCTGCCCAAACATCCGCGCGACCGTTATTTGAATCTGGTTCTCAACGTAGCCACAGCAGTGCACATCCATGTTTGCAGAAGTCCCTAATGACATACAAATGGTCCCGGGTTCGACAGCTGTTATCTCTACCTGATGAAATCAAAGTCAAGACGCTTAGTGGAGTTCATATAAAATTCTATCGTCCAGACTCGACGCATATACGTAATATGCCGTTGCAGATGATGCGGTAGTTTTGTCTTGGCCAACGAAGGAATTTGGATTCAACTTTCGAGGGCAATTCATCACGACCATATTCGGAGATGGATTAAGTGACCGTTTCATCCTTAAGGAAACCACTACTAACAGAGCACATTCTACCTGTCTCCTGTGGGGCTGCGACGTATCTCATCCACATCAATCATTTCACAACGCTAGGCACGATAGTAAGCAACCATGTCTTCTGCATGTTAGAAACGCGTCAGGCAGTTAGTGCCACGCTATGTAACAACCAGTTACCTGATCACCACACGGGTTTCTAATCTCCCGTACCCTTACGGACACACGAGAGTACTGGATCGTCAGGAGTAGATAGAACGCGCATTGCACGCGATTCCCGAAAGGATGAAACGATCATCCGGTGTTTTTCCGGATGTGCAGTGGCTGTCTGTCGGAGTATACTCTGTAAGGAAGCTGCATCGAAAATCACGGAACAATAAACACCATAAATTATACTTAAATGGTGCACATGCGGTGCACGAGTACACAAATCGGCGCTGATATATTGCCGTAAAACAATACAAAGCAAAGCACTCGATCGTCGAGTGGGTAACAAAGCTAGGGCAGTCCAATAACTTAAAAGAAAAAGGCGCCAATTCAAGTAGTGATGGATAGTGCAGAAAATCAATTGTATACGCCGGCGCAACTGGGGCTGCATGAGCTAGTATGTTTCACACCAAAGTGGAATATGTGGTTGCAGAATTGGAGAGACACACAAACAGTCCTCACAATCAAAGACAAACCACCGAATATGACCTCTGTTCGGCCATCTAAACACCTCCGACCCCAGTAAGTCAAACCCATTCCTCGGCCTGGGCAACCGGTTAGATGTATGCCCACACAACACATGAAATGATGGATTTATAACTCTTTGCTCACGGTTATTGCTTTCTGGACTATCACTCTGGTCGAGGCGCTGGCAACTGGATATGCTTAACCTTACTCTAGCACACCGAAAACCACCTTTATTCCACGTTTATTCAATCCTTTTATTATTGGCAACCCCCCTCCTAAAAACGCATTGCAAATAAAAACAGTACTTCTGGCCTCATGAATGAACCGCTCCAAACCGATCGCACACAATCCAATTCCAACAGTAAGGCTTTTATTGCATCCCGCTCGCTTTTCAAGCTTGCTACGTCCAATGTTCGCACGCTTATGCAAGTTGGATCACAGGCTGTGCTTGCGCACACCTTGATAACCCTCGCAATGGACGTTGAAACCCGTTTACAGGACTCCAGCAGAACGCTGCGACTGCTCTCACCATCCACACGTTCCGACTGCACATTCACCTTGCACTTATCTGGGGACGCGACAGCGGTAGCCTCTGGCTGCGGCGGCAAAGGAATTGCGTTAAGCGCGCGTGCTGGGGCAATGTTCACTGACTGGTTCCCAGTCAACAGCCATCTTTATGTAGGCTGCTTAGGATCAGTAGGCATTGCTTATTCATTGGGGCGGCGTACGCTTCTACGGACTGCATCCCGGATGAAGTTAAAGACGAGTTCTACCGCCAACTCACCGGCCTCTTACACAAGAAACGACGCACGGACACCGTAATAGTCGCCGGAGACCTAAAGGCGTAGGTCAGTAGACTAGAGGTTCATGAGCACGAAGTTGGGGGTTAACACAGCCACGGTACTTGCAGGACGGACAACGGCGATCGACTCCTACAACTGTGCGCCGACCACGGCTTGTTCCTTACGAGCACCAATTTACGGCGTTCCTAGTGCCAATGAAACAGCTGGCGACCTCCAGCGCCTGGTCAGGCTTGGACGCAGATTGACCACCTCGCTATTATTTACCGTTGGCGAGGCCGCATAACGGATTGCAAATCAATATGGAACACTTACTTTACTATGGATCATGCGCTTGTGTGTGCTAAGGTCGTTCTGCGCCGTAGTGGCACCCAACAGCGTCGCCGGAAACGGCTTGACAGAGACAAGCTCGCGGTTCCAATTATTTTCGACGCATTTCAGAACACATTAAACTTCAGTTTGCGTTCTCTATCCTCCGATTGGCACACATCCCGAGTGCCTTACGAAAGTCCACTACGTTGGTCTGTGGCTTCATTAGACGAGCTGCTAGTCATTGGATCTCTACACAGTCTCTCCAATTAATGGAAAGCCGCCGAACAGCACAACCGAGTCCCTATTCTGAGATTCACAGTACTCCTTGGTGCGTGGGTGTTTCTCCACCGACTGAAGCTGAGGTTCCGCATGAGCTTCGTTTGCTAAAGTGCTACAAGTCACCTTGCCCAGATGAACTTCCTACAGATTTGGAACACTGGAAAAATCCCATCCGACTGAAAATTATCGGGTGTTGTGACAGTCTACAAAAATGGAACCCGGATCGTTTGCTCCAATCATTGTGGTATCAGACCCATTTATGTTTTATCAAAAATGCTCACTGCTCTACTCCTACGAAGGCTCAGTTGCGTACGGGAACTGCACCTGCGTGAACAGAAAGCCACGTTTCGCCCGAGTCGCAGTTGCGTCGATCACAGCTTTACGATCTGCCAGATACTTGAACACCGCCATACATTCAGTCGACCAACCATAGTCATGTTCTTGAACACCCGAGCCGCGTTTGACTCAGAGGACAGAGTGGCACTTTGGAACTCCTTACTGAAGAGGGGGGTACATGAGACGTACATCAGCATGCTCCGTGCCATTTACTGTCAAACTTCGGGCAGCGTGTGAGTATACGGAGACTTTTCGCCCCCTTTCAGTATCCCTAGCGGTGTAAGACGAGACTACCCAGCTTCTCCACGTTGTTCAACTTCGCCATGGACAAGATAAACGAAACTGCGCTGGAAAGCTCTGAGTTCCGTGGCGTTGAACTACTCCCGGGTGACCGCCTTCGGGACTTGGAGTATGCAGATGACATCGATGTGACTCGTGAGTCCTCCCAGGCCGCCCAGCATGTGCTGCTAAGGCAAGAGATGTCTGCCTCGTAATTTGGATTGACCTTTGCTCCTTCCAAAGGAAAAATCTTATTACAGAACTGACCAAGTGCATCTCCTTCTCTCACCATTTCGGAGCATCTACTGGAAGTGGACGACCTGTTCATTTAACTTACGAGTAGTCTTAGTATTGGCGGTTAGACGGATAAGATCTCCTTGCGTGTCTCCAAGGCTAGAGTAGCTTTCGCTAAGCTTCGTCACCCGTGGTTTCGACGTGACCTCCGCCTCGTTCTTAATGGACGAGCACACAATGTTACGGTACGAGCGATTCTGCTGTACGGTTGTGAGATTTGGCCCGTTCGCAAAAGTGATGTTAAGCGGCTACCTGTCTTCGATTATCACTACCTATGAAGCATTGCTCGTGTTCCGTGGCAACAACATCTTACTAATGGGGAAGTCCATGGGCGAGTCGTCAAATCTGAAAAACTCCGCCGACCGATCGACAGCACCAGTTCACTGCGGAAGCTTCGCTGGCTTCGGCCTGGGCATGTGCATCGCACGCCTACCCAGTGGCTACCACGACGTGCTCTATTCGCGACCGAATGCGTGGGATGGAAGCGACGACAAGGAGGTAAGTGTTAAAATTGGATCCAATGCATTAAGACGTAAACGTTGAAGCTGGCTGATGTCGGGCGTTCCCGACTCCCGCGTTGGGGACCAAAGGACCTCCAGCACATTTGGTTATAAACACTATTGGATATGGCCAAGGACCGTACGCAACGGCGCACTTGCCGTGAGACTCATCCCTAACAGTCGTTTTCGCTTTCAATCTATCGTTCTCGCTTGTGTTGTGGAACTCAGCCAATTGTTTTATATATATATATATATATATATATATATATATATATATATATATATATATATATATATATATATACATATATATATATACCTTACCGCTGGGTGTTAGGTCAAAGGGTTTGCGTGGCAGCAATCCGTTCGGCGTTATTACTCGGTGCGTATCCACGGTATCTGCACGTTGAAGGTGACACCAAACTGACTGCCTTTGGAAACCAGTGCCTGTTTAGAAATAACCATGTTGGTCAGGCTCACCGGGTTAGCCCTGTAAGTTGAATCGTCTCAAAAGACCGCATGGCGCCACCGTATCGTTTAATAGTGTCCAAATGCTCTCACCTGGCGGATTATCCGCTTGCATGTCGAGCGTCCGTTTCCGTATGTGTCGTTTCGCGTCACTGATGTAAGCTGGGTAAAGCCGCGAAGGCGGATAACCAATTACGTGACCAAAAGTGATATGTGTAACGCAACTGGTTGGATTCTCTCGACACTTCATGTCAATGTGAAGTGCTGAAGTTTTTGTTGATCACAATAGACAACACTCGCTAAGTCGGGTTTTTCGCATTTCACCCAACTGGCAACCTAAGGGACCATGGTTTGAACGTTGCTAAGCGAAGTGAGTAGAAGACCACTGGATTACGCGAGAAAAATATGCGAAGAACCTTGGGGAAAGGTTGTTACGTTGGTAGAGGAAAAAAAGGTGTCAGCTTATACGCCGTAACGGCGCTTCGCTGCCGCGCGACCACCACTAGTCGCGCGCGGACTGAGTATACCGCGAGGACGCCCACCCCTACACGGATTCGAACCGGTGACCTTATGGTTGGAAAGCAAACGTGCCGACCACTCGGATACCGGCCGAGTTACGTTGGTACTTGTTATCTTCCGGATCGGACCCAGAGGATCGACCACAACAATAACATGGAAAGGTACCGAAGATAAATAGATAAACAGTGTATTTTTCTAAAGTATATGACGGACTGTTTACATCATGAGTAGCAATAACAGTTAAGAATTTAGTAATGCGCTTACATTCCCTTCCCCACATTTAAATCGTAACTTGTTTATTTTTCCAATAGTGGATTTTCTCTCCTTATTCTCGTAAACGCCTTGACTATTATTGATGTTATGGGTTAGGGTAACCGGATTCAAGAAACTATGGTGTGTGCATCTGCAGTGAATTGATAAAATGTGACAATATAAAGCTGAATGAGAAACCTACGCAAAAACCATTGTGCCATTTGCTCCGCAGCCGAGTACATGGTTCACATTGAACCGTATGGCATCCGGTTGTCCGGCTTCTTCTGCAGCGCATCCAGCCCAACCCTCATTGTCAGGCACATCAAAGGAGGATGGTAAAAGGGTGGAATTTGCGTCGTGACCGGAATAGGGCTCAGCAGGCCACAAAGCCCGGACACTCTTGTTTTTCAGCAACATTCCACGATTCTAAAGTGGTTTGGATGTAAAAGACACGGTGATCAACATGGCAAATGTGGTGTTCACGATCAATTAGTTTGAGTATATGATAAAAGCAGAACGAGTGCCTGTATGCATCAAAAAATACAACTTCAACGAACAAAAAACATTGCGGTTGACTGGAAACAGTATCCCCCAAAGGAAGGTGCCCCCAAGAAATGAGGAGAACGGACAGCCATTATACCACACTTCACGATGCGCAGTGTAATAGCACACGATGCGATAGCACAGTGTGTCATGAGGCGCTGAGGTGTCGAGTGTATAGGGGATGAACAAAGGGAGCGAAATAGTGCAAGATAAAGAATAACGGTATGTTTCCGCCGGACTTGCTTTATTTATCTGATTAGATGTGATACCAAGACACAATAGCGCACGCGATGAGATCCGGGTATCTAAGTAACACAATCAAGGCAGAAGAGAACAGTTGAATAAGATATCGAGCGAGGGGCATTGTCAGTATCGAAGGCCAGAGCAATCGAAAGACCCCGATGACCAATGAACTAACTTTAAGCATGGTACATCCCATCACAGGAGTTCAGGAATGACCGCAAGTTACGTATAGTGTGAGCAGCTTCTTCTAACTGACCAACTACTACACACCATAACTCCACGGAAAAGAAGGCGATAAACTCGCCGGGATTTCACCGCAAATAGATCGACATGTCTTAGGCTATGGTGCCCTAACCAAGAGCAATGAAGATGTGAAAATGTGTTGCACTCCTGTGAAAGTGCTAACTAACAACTGGTCTCGAGTGAATAATACATTTGTCCAAGCAAGGAGAAAAGGATCACTGTGTCCGTGTGAGTGTTAAGGGAATACTCCACATTGCCTCGTAAAGCGTTACAGAGGAACAGCGACCCACAGTAGGAGGTACACGTGGTTTCGACGACGGAGCAGGAGATTTGCCTGATGGGTGCAAGCTCTCCACTATCTATTTAAACAAATATAAGGACATAAGACGAGACTTACGAAATAATAATTTGTACATGAAGCGGTCAGTAATGTGAATGACACTGCATCAAAGAGGTTTAAACGAGTTCCACCAACAAGGCTTAATGTGGAATTTAACTGCCAAGTTTCGCACTCAAAGGTGTGGGGTTACGTGTCAATAAAGTTATTCCTCATCATTAAGCCGAGCTATGTGGCACCGTTTCATGATAGATGAGTAGGCAGCAAGGCGTGGTGACCCACGATGCCGGGTGATTGGCTACCGAAATACTGGCGTATCTGAGTGACTAATTAAACCAGTGTTAAGATTGATTTATGGACGGCAAGTGGTGTTGTGCAAAAGCAGACGTATGCAGAAAAACACACGGATACGTTTTTTAGCTGTGTCATCCCCATAGCGCCAAATGGAGACCCGACTGATCTAAGCCCGTAAAAATGCAAAACTAACAAAAGCGATCCACTGCCTGTTTCGAGGTCCCACTGTGTTGATCACGACACGCGATTTACCATGATATGAAACGGCCAATTAGACAAATAAGATTGTAACTAAAACGGATGAACGACGACATCGTCAGTTCCGAATGCATCGCACATCAAGGCCGAGATTGGAGCTTGTGAAGTGATATTAGCGTGGTCTTTACTGCCTCGACGACTCAACTGCTTTGGAGGCTAACTGACCCTGCATGAAGTTGAATCAGCGAAAGTTAAGCTGGTTTTTGCTCAGGGAAATCACATTTTACACATCGTCTGGCGCTGTACCGCGTGCTGATCTTGACCGGTGTTGTCGAAAGGGCTGCATGCGGGCAGCTACACACAATGACCCAAGGAATAATGAACGCAGAGAAAGTGAACATGACACAAAAAGTGGCTATTCTTATTTTTCTAGATGTTAAAGCAATGCTCAGTGTAGCACTGGGTTGCGAAGACTCGATGGTATATCGCATACAAAATACAGGAGACGGATTCAAAGCGCTTGGACATGGGTTTCCAGAGGGGTGAAGCTAAACTTCGACTTCGCCTAAAATAATGGAAAAGCACTTTTATACAGCGTCGTGTGGAGCGCAGTGGTGCACGCACCATGTAAACACGCTGGTAACCATGCTGACGAATCTGGGTGGGGATGGAGAAAGCATGATTGTTAACGAAGATAGGCACTAGGGAAAAGAGCAGTAAACTCACCAGTCTTCCAATGATAATACACATGACAAGGGTTGCTGCGATGATGGCGACAGATATAGATGAAATGGAGTGTGTAGAGTGCTTTCCAATAGATGGCGCTTCTGTGGGACCTTCAATAGCCTTCACGAAATCTTTATCCTTTGTATCGGCCGGTTCAAACGGAGGAATAATGACACCCCATCTGTATGGAAGGAGATGATGCGTTGAGGCTTGTTCTACTAAGCAAATTGGGAAGACAATTGCATCAAAAAATAACAGACTGCAGGCACGTACCCGGTGTTCTGATCCGTGATCTGTCTCAGCCGCGAAGCCCGAACCCATAATGGGACGAAATCGACGGAAGACCACCGACTCAGTTGTGTCGGTGGTAGCTCGTATAGGCCGATGAGAGCTCGAGACAAACAACTCGGATCTGTAAAGTCGCACGGCGGTGAATCGTTGACAGAGCTGGGACCTTCAAGCAACAACCTTCCTGGCGCTCTTTGAACACCACGGAGTGGCAAGGTGGCCTCCGCAACACACGGGATAGCGTAAAGTGGGGCAAATGCGGAGTTGTTCAGCAAGAGCGAGAGGCTTAAGAGATGAGAACACAATGTGCAACAGCGGATAAGATGACAGCTGGTACCATAAACAGCGTACAAGTGGAACGAAAATATCGAAAGCATAAGCGCAAAAAAACAAAACAAATAGAAAGATGTGTGGAGGAAAAAGATTGTAAATATGAATAAACGAAGTGTGCAAAGTGGCCTGTTGAAGTGTATAAAGTAGGGGATATAACGTGATGAAATGAATGTCATGTTGGACCCATGGGAAACACTTTATCCACGTTCACCTCCCCTCGCCTCCTCAACGCTTTCTTGAACAAGTGACTAAGCATCTCGCCCTAGGGAGACTAAAGCTCTCGCTTGCGAACTGTATGCCGCAGTTGATTCTTTATCATACCCTGTACTATCTAGCCCATCGAATAGCATATAATCCGCCTCAATGATGTACGTCTCGACCTATGTCGCACGTCCGTCCGTCCTGATACGCCTACGTTACGCCATCCACGTTCTATAGCCTTTTCTATGGCAGTCCGTACAAACTAGTCTCTGCATTGAACGCAATCTATTAGAAAATCTACATATAAAATGTATATGCGTATCAAATAAATCAAACAAGCTACACACGTTTGATTGCATATTAAAAAGGACTTCATCATGAGCTCTCTTTAGTTGCGTATGGATGCTCTTTGATTGTCTGCTTTTTCTCTTCACCTTTTTACTGCGAGTTGCAAATAAAGGTTGATAAAACTCCCTTGCTCTTCCTCAATCGCTGATCTACCTTCGTGGAGGAACGATGTTTCAACTTAGCTTAAGCGCACGAAAAATGTTTTTGACACTTGATGGAAGATTGGTAACCTGATATCGTTACTTACCTAATCGGAAATATCGCAATTTTGGAACTATTTTCCATGTTATCTGAACAAGCGGGTGCCATTTTACCCATTTTCGGAAGAACATTATTTCAAGTATATACTACTTGGCGCTACTATGACCATCTCGCCAGTGATGAAAATCTGCAAGCAAACCCTTTCCCATTTATCTTCTCCATGTTACCATACACTAGATTTAAGTTGGACCGGCATCGCTGTGAACTCTGCCAATTGCTTACTATTGTCCGGTGTTATCTTGGCGTAAATCAATACACCTCGCTAGTAGGCTAATCCTTCAAGGATGCTTCGCTGCTGAAATTTTTTAGCTAGCACGCATTTTCTCTTCGCTGGACCGATCTAAACTTGTATGGCGTTACCCCAAAATAAGGAGCACACCGAGGAATCCAAACTCTATTACTCAAAACAATCTTGCCGTTTATGTTCAATGGATTTCAGAAGAATCTCTATGGTGCAACTATGGAAACGGGAAGCAGTGACAACAGAAACGGTTAACATTTGAAGGGCGTGGACTGCGAATAGCAAAATCTTCATTTAAGTGCGAATCGGTGGCACATACTTGAATACAATCTGCAATTTCCGAGTGAACTCTCTCTTCAGCTGTAAAATCATTTCGAAGCATTTTACTTCTTACCACTTCGTGGACACAACTATATATTTGGGTATTGTTCTATCGTCATACCACATACATGTTATTATATCAAGCACAGAAAATCTTGTTGCGCTTAAGCATCCATTCGATTATTTCGGAGCAGCATCTAATCCAAGTAATGTGCACTGCTGCACCTTCATGACCATGCTTTAAATGGCGTGTCTCGCATAGCCGAGAAATAAATCTTTTATTTGTCTGTTTATGCCGCCACATACTATACAGCCGTACGGGCTGTGAAGTGTTAACAGAGTGTAAACATGTAAGTCTTACGGTGAGTCAGTGGGGCACAGTAAATCAGTTATAAGTAACTCAGAGAACGGCAGATCTGAGTGCTTCGGCGTAATTGTTATAAGGTGGTCAACAAAGACGGAAAGGGAACCAAAATGAGGATAACAGGCAGAAAATTAAGTACTCATGAGCAGGGGATTTTGAGGTAATTAAGTGGGGTTCATCGCAGCCAGCTTCCAAATCAGATAGTCGTTCACATGCCCAGAAACGCATTAAACTGCAATTTCAGCCTGTTGGGCACCGTCAGTAGTGCGCATTCATCAGGATTCGAACCCATGACCACCAGCGGCTTGAACCGCCAGTAAGCAGCTTATGCCACTGGACCACGGACAAAGAACTCCAGATGGCTCAATAACTCACGTGGTGCACGCTCATAGCATTCTGCTAGGTCTCTTGCACACGACAGTAAAACAAACGAATATGATGCCTGTGTAGCGCTGAACACGATGACGAAGACGATGAACGCATAGATAGAATTACATATGGGTGGCGACTTTTGATGCAAACCACGGAAGATTCGTTGCAGTCGATTCCAGATCAGACAGACTCTCATGCATCCAAAAAAAAGCGATAGACAGCTGGTCCAGGCTATTAAGTCCTGTGTTAGTTGTGTGTATCCCGGACCCCGTCAGGAGTCGAACTCATGATCTTTCGAAGTCAGCGCTTGATGTCACTAATGCATGACCAACAGCTAAGGGGGATACAGAGCATCTTGTTCCCCACCGATGGCGTCCGGAAATTCGCGCTACTGAAAAATACTTCGGGGGCAAAATGTTCGCTTAGTGCTCTATCGGATAAATGGGAGGTTGACTGATTGAAAGCTGACTGCGACGAATCATCAAAAGACTGCAGCTGCACGGCTAATAACCCACAGGATAGCACGCATACATTAAATTACAGGGGCAAAGAATGTTATAACAAGCAACATACATTTACATATTCAGATGGTGTAAAGCAACACGTGTTTACTAGACTGCTGGGTCAGCTGATGTGTGGAAAAAACCGTCAGTGCTGGCTTGCACTGCACCACCCACAGCTCCAACTACACACCCAAAATGCAGTGAAAACCAGAAGGAATAAGACTGGGAGGCATGTGGATGGGAGCTACGTTTCATCAACGGAGCTGGCCCACACTCCTTCACAGACAAACACAAGTACGCTGTATTTGAGGAATCAAGTACACACAAGGCGGTGGCTGGACCGTAGTCCGCTCCACACTGAGTGCATGGAACCACTCTTCGAGCCTAGCACGACCACAAGGACATGCACCCCATCCTCTCCAGCAACGACCAACTGTCTCCTGGAGACAGTATGGATGAGGTAGTGGGTAATAGACAGGTAGGCACCTTGTCCACATGCACATCCAGCGCAGCCACACCGGGGGTATCAAGCAACAGCCAATCAGTTGAAACGACATGAAATAAAATAAATCGGATAATGCATACAGATACGGTGACATAATTATCCACTAAATGAGCGTATAAAATAAATTGGTTACGAATGAATCTGCGATAAGTTCGAGACGTCAGAAAATATATTTTAAAAAAGTGCCACAAACGCGAAAATGTTATCGAAAATAACTATAAGCAGCTTAAGTAACGTGTGCAAATTTATAGAAGATAGTTCAGATAGACCTTAATATGAGAAAGAAAAGCAAAACTGCCAAACCACCACCTGAAATAAAGAGACTTAGCAAGCAAGCACGTGGTTAGTAAATCGATTGCAGTGTACCTACCAATGGCGCGCCGATTCTGTCTACCTTCTCTGCAAGACCCGTCGTCGCTTCGGTGGTGGTCTAGAGTGACCTCGCTCATGGCTCATTAGGCCTGCCTGGCTCGCGACCGCATGCGCTACGGCACCATGCGCTCGACGTCGATGGAGTACAGCCCACCGGCGACTGGGGCTTCCGCAATTTCCGCTTATTCACTGCTTGCACGAAGACTTTCTCATGCACATCGGCAACGGTATTCGTGATCGGATCGCGCCATGCACGCCGATCAACCGCCTTCGATTCCCATGACGTGCAATCAAGAGTAGAACGTGAGAAGCTCATTTTGATCATGTCCTGATAACGAAGCTTCGGTTTCCCCACATGCCGCTTCTCCACACTCAACTGACCATATAATAGTTGTTCCGGTATCCGTGTGGAATCCATACGCCACACATCGCCTAGCCACCCAAAGTGTCTCAGCAGAAGTATGCAGCCCACTGCATACATTCCACTTCGGCGCAGCACCTCCGTGGCTGCAACTCAGTCGCACCAACCGATGCTCAGAATCCGTTGCAAACACTGTTGATGGAACCTCTCGAGATATCGCACATCTCGCTGGTACACCATCCACGTTTCACTGCCGTATAGAAGGAAGAACAGCACCAACGATTTCTACACCATCAGTTTCGTTCCAACGGTCAGCTGATGGTGGTTCCACACTCGGTACTCTAGCTTCCCGAATGCCGCCGCTGCCTTCGAGACGCGGATACGCAGCTCACTACGCAGCTGCTAGTCAGTGGACATCACACTCCCAAGGTAGCATAAGCGAAAGGTAGTTGCTAATACTTCAGCACCAATGCTGATTCGCGGCAATATTTAAGAATGCGCCTACGGTGAAGGCTGAAAGAGACAGACAGTTTTGTGTTGATGGTGAACCCGAATTTGACCGCCGTCGAAGCTAGAGCACTAATCTTGTACTGCAACTCATCCGCGCTGTGTGCAAACAACACACACTTATCAGCGAACAGCAGCATACGGACGGTTGTCTCACGGGCCGGGGTTTTCGTACTGAAACGACGGATGTTCAGCAACCCACCATCACGAACACAGTAAGCACAAGCCGCAGCAAAAGCACAAGACATCATGGCATGGAGATAAATATTAAAAAGAGCAGGAGCTAAGAAGCAGCCTTGTTTCACACCAGTGACAAGTGCAAAGTCATCCGAGGTCTATCCACTCAGCTGCACCCTCGCCCGCATACCACTGTGCAGACATTCAATTAAACTTACAAAGTTACTCGGACAACTAAACTTACCCAACACCAGTCACAATGCTTCGCGGTTCATCGTATCAAATGCTTTGATGAAATCAACAAATAACGAGTACAACGGCTGGTGTCGTTCTCCACAACTCTCCTGCAACTGACAAGCCGCAAACACCATAACTATGGTGCTGCGACCCGAACGGAATCCACATTGCTCTTCCGCCACGTTAGGTTCCACTACCTCAGTTATCAGGTGGTTGAGCAACAATCGGGCAATCACCTTGTTCACACAGTTCAGCATACTGATGCCACAATAATTCGTGCAACATTGCTTCCTCACTTTGCCCTTGTACAATGGCAGCGCAAGAGCATCCTTTAGCTCAATCCATACGCTTTGCACCAAGTGGTGCAACGCGGGTCCGCCATGTTTCGATACTTCAGGCTGGATCCGCCGGTACCGACACACTTGCCGTTTCGCAGCTGAGCTAGTGCTCTCTGCGTCTCATCCAGTGTCTGCGTGTCCACCAGACTCGCCTTCACATCATGCTGCTTCAGGCCGTTCAGTGTACGCCAATCGATCTCTGGACGGTTGCTCAGGGAACGGTCAGTCATTTCGCCAGATCTGCATTATGTCTGCAGTCTGTGTACATACAGCACTTGAACAACGACTGATCAGTGTCCTTAGCAGCTCAAATCTCAGACCATACACCGCCTTCAAGGAGCCAAAGAATTGCTTGTGTTGGCGGCGTTCAGCGTGGTATCCCCTCTGCTTCGTTTTATCCGCCCACCAAGCATTTTTAATGTGGCGGACCCTTGGGGTCAGTCGATGTCGAAGTTTGCGTAACGGAGTATTCTCCACAAAGTCACTGGGGTCTGCGACATGTGCAGCCAGTACTGCATTATTCTCCGACACCAATACGCCAATCGTCGCATTGTTCTCATCAAACCCATCAAGCGGCTTACAGTTTGCGCGTCCGATGGTCTCCTCGGCAGTAGCTGTCACCTGGTCGCGAATGTGGTGCCACAGGTCGCCCACTGTGGCTATGCAGTCCACATCACACAGACGTGCAGCCATCGCCTTATCCAGCTCAATACGTTTCGCCACGGTGCCGAGGGAGAGAATGGTAAATTGACGCCGATTCACGGCGGGAGTACAATACATAGGTTTACGAAAATATAGTTTGGTGGGTATCAATTTGTGATCAGTTCCACACTCAGCTCCACGCAATACACGTGTCATGCACACATCACGCTGATGACATAGTCGAGCAGTTGAGCGTGACCACTCTGTGGATGCTTGTAAGTTGCTATATCACTCGCACTCAGTGCAAACCGAGTGTTCGTGATCGTCAGGCCGTGAGTGGCACACAGTGAGAGCAGCGTGTCACCGTTCGCATTCGTTGAACCGATGCCATGCGGACCCATGACATCTGTCCACACGGATGCATCGCTTCCAACGCGCGCATTGAAATCACCCAGCAGAAACAGTCGATTGCTCCTCGGCACAGACCGTATCACGGAGGATAGCTGAGTGTAGAATTGATCACGCGTGTCATCAGGATAGCACATGGTCGGACCGTACGTGCTTATAAAGGTGGCAAACTTGCCTCTTCCGAGTCGTAGGCGAACAGTCATCAGTCGCGCGCTGATGTCAGTCGACTCACTCATCAGTTGGCCATTGAGGCGATCGGAGAGTGCAAATCCGACCCATGTTCACGTGGTGCTGAGGCTGCGTTGCCCACCCAGTAGAATGTGTAGCCAGCACCTGCTTCATGCAACTTGCCTTGCTCAGCGAACCGGGTTTCATTGAGCGCCGCAATAACAATGTGGTAGAACGGCAGTTCCATCGCGACCAGTGTAGTGCGTCGCTCAGGGCGTACACTGGAGTTCCGGCCCAGTAGTGTGTGCACGTTCCAGTACCCGATGCTGAGTGCTTTGTGCGCAGGTGTACCAATGCATTGGTGTGTACTGGAACGCGAGGTGGCAAATGTTCTTCGGAGATTTACTTGAAGAACTCCACCCGAAGCCTTTGGCTTCAGAATCTGGCCCACAAGGCAGTGGGTGGTTTGTAGGTTAGCTTGAGGGATTCCGTCCGGAGCCTTTGGCTCAATAGCTAGACCTACAAGGCAGTGGGGAGCAGATCCAGCTCAGGAATGTGATTGCAGAGACAGATTGGGATCTGCTTGACGGCTGTCACACGCAGACTTTGAGGTACTTGAAGGATTCATACATATGTTACGACCATAGTAGGATCCGCACCTGCGACCACGACCAGACGCAGGTGGGTTTTGGCGGGTTTGCACCAATTTGACCAGGGGTTGCCTGGCTTGAGGCGGGCAGTATCAAACCATTGAACACCCGGAGGTGCCCTCCCACCGTCAGAGACAATGCGTGGCGCTCGTGCTCGATGCCGATATAGCGGTGAGCTTATAACCCATAGACCTGTTGTCCCCCATAACTACACTTTACGGGAAAAGGCCATCGACCACTTCCTAACCTCAGAAGATGGACTAGGATACCGGCAGAGGGCCCATACCTGACAAGAGAACGAATCGGGTCCACAGTCAAAGCCTTCGATTAAATGTACACCCAAAAGGCAGCGGGTTTAGCACATGGTCAGTTCACTGACTCATGCGGATTGGTGTTCTGACTCTTAGCTAAAAGAAAGGCGTAACACAACTCCCACCCAGCGGTCGTCACGAGGAGGCGTCCAGGACATGAGCCCATGGCACAACAGTAGCAGCAGTGGGTAGACTATCTGTCAGGATCTGGCCAACCTCAGCCTCAGCGCACCATAGGCTCTCGCGCCCGGTCCCATATGCAGGTTTGGATCTGTGACGTCCGGGTCGCAAGGCATAGGACTTGATATTTCGGCCATGGGCCGGCAACGCGCAGTTCGCCTTGGCCACGTCGGCATCAAGCAGTGCTGTAGTAGGTTGGAAGTGGAGGGAGGGGCGAGTTGAGGCATATGGTGCTGGATGAGAGCCGACTGCAGTGAACTGGGAGATAATGAACAATGAGTCCGCCATTACGAAACATCCTCTCCATAATTGGGTATCATGCAAACAAAGTGTACATAAGGCTCGACAAGGGGCACACACAGTGATTATAGAATGATGCGGCTATTGCCGTGGATGAATCCATGGAAACTGCGTACCCTAGACAAGACCTACAAGGTGTGGAGCGAGTTCTTGACTTGGAGTATGCCTACGTTGCCCTTATCTGGGACAGATGCCAAACGTGCCAAGTAGCACTGGACATATTAGCACTGGCTGCCAGTCGTTATGGGCTATGATTTGCACCCTAGAAATGCACAGTCCTTCTCTTAGATTAACCCACCGCTGAGCTGACCCATGGTCAGCTGATCAGCTAGAAGTCATCCATAAATTAAACAACCTACGTAGTGACATCAGCGTCAGTGGAATGATAATTGAGATCACCAGTCATAGAGCAAAAGTTGCAGGCGCTTTTGCAAATCTTCGCCACTTATGGCGCCGGCGCAACATCCCTCTCGCTCTGAAGGGCAGTTTACAATACAGTCGTCAATTCAACCCTATTCTATGGTTGTGAAACATGATGCAACAAGTCGACAGAGATAAAGAGGCTAGTTACGTTCGACCATCGCTGCCTTCACAGTTTCCTCATGTGTGGTGGGAATATCGAATGAGCAACGGGGCATATTCGACACCTTGTATTAGGTAAAGGAAGAGCAAGTGAACCCTTCAGGACCGTTATTTAACGCACCGGGCTCAGGTGGCTGGGCCAAGTGTTGAGCATGTCAGTACATCGACTCTCTGGACGTGTGTTGTTTGCGCGACCGGGGTCTGGAAGGAAAAGGATGGAGGGTCAAACGATGACTTGGTCATGGGGAATAAAAGCCCTCATTTAGAAGTTGGAGTTAGTTAGTGTCTTCCGACTGTCGGGATGAGATCTGAAGGACGGGGACCTGGTCGGGAGCGTGTAACTCGGCATACTAGAACGGTGCAGAACCGCAATAGATGAGTTTTAATTGGTAGACAGGCGAATTATTGAAGAGCCCAAAGACCACAAGCGATTGGTTGGAGGACCATGACAATCTCGTAGTGGGGGGGGAGTTGAACAGTGCTACCAGAGTGATTCTGATTTAAGAGTAACCCATGAAGGACCATATCGTCAAGGTAGGCAGGAATATGGAAGCCATTGAAAATTCCAGTGCAGAATGAGCCGATCTATGCAAACTATCAATCGGAAGCCACACGAAGACCAGATATGATGGTCTTGGGTAAACATTACAATGAACAAGCCCAAGAAGAGAAGCCTCGTTGCCATTTCGTTGTGTTGCCCACTGTGAGTGGAGTAAAGTTCATGGATAGCGTAAATGTGTCCATATGATAGACGGCGGACGCTAATTCACAACGGCATTACTGCTAAGCAGGGTGTGCAAAATCAAATTGCGGACAGAGTGAAGGTAAATCGCTCCGTTTATAGGGTGCTTTGAGATTACGATACGCGGACATTTCAAAACCTAGTAGAGGGGGGTTAGTTAGTATGCATTTAAGTGGCGATATAGCGTTCACGGGCGGTTGAAAACAATGTTGACTGTGACTTACGCCAAATCCAACTTTCCGTTAAATTTAGCTTCCAAACGCAAATTGTTTAAATGGGGGGATGAGTACGGCTCGCTGTTCATATCGAGTGCGTAAGTAGTGAACGCAATCTTTCGCAAAACGCACGGATATCGGTTAGACGTTGGAGGCTCAGATGGTGAATCATTCGGAGTGGATGGAGTAGGGGAAACGAATAGGGGCGTCTCACCAAATGCAGCTGTGTGATCAGATCCGCTATTACGTGGATACGTCGAGACATGGGCATAGGAGGGTCGTTGATCCTCAACAGTAGAAAAGTCGGAAGAATATCGGCAATCGGTAGGAGAGGAGGCGCCTTTGGGTGGCCAACAAACGGCGTACAAACCAACAACCGGAGAGGACAAGGGCAAACTCCACAGCACTAAAGTGGAAGAATGAAGAGATGTTTGAAAAAGTACAGATGCTGTTTTATTTCAGAAGATGGTCAGTGTTAAACGCGCCGTTAGAAACCATCATACGGCTCAGAGGAAAGGACAAAAAGTGGAATAAGTATTAAACATTGGCGGAAATAAGAGATGGCCGCTGTAGGATGAAAAGAGGTTAGAAGTGTTGTGTGAATGCTTGACCAAGAGGAAAACAACAAACGCTTGTGAAATAACAAGCCGTAGAGAGCCCCCAGAATGCGTTAAAGCAACCGGATCATATCATAAAAAGGGACAGACTTGCGCTAATTGGAAGCAACAACAAGCAGCGTATGGTGGGGTTTGTTGATGTCCCAATGAGCTTCATTGGGGCAGTTTCATGCATAGTTAAATAGCGTTAAGTAAACGTCATGACACCTATACGGTCATTTCGCGCGACATGATAGAGAAAAGCGAGTCGGAAACGCTCTTTTGTTAGATATGGAAATTTTACAATCGGGGTTAAATCTGACTGAAAAACATTTACGCACTAAAACTACACCAGAGTGGACAATAGCACCGGAATGGTGGACGAACAACAGGACGGTGAAGAATGCTTCGTGTGATGCAGTTTTGCCGGTTCGGCACAAATAAGGATGAAAACGTAGAAAACTAACTGGCGAATAACTGGATAAAAGAGGAAGTGCGGTGGTGAGAAAGCCAGACAGCTTCTGAGAGAATTCAATATCAACAAAAACGTCCAGCTAGGACGACAACCAAAAACCTCACGCACACACTGCGCTACATCTGTTTTCAGAAATTGCTAATCCCGAATTTATCAAAAGAATGGTTCGTTTTAGTTAGACGATATAACAGCTAAAAAGCTGTTCAGAGAATCTGATGATGCGGTAAAAGTGATTCTGATGTACGGTTGTGAGATTTGGCCCGTTCGCAAAAGTGATGTTCAGCGGTTATCTGTCTTCGATTACCGCTAACTACGAAGCATTGCTCGTGTTCCATGGCAACAACATCTTACTAATGGGGAAGTCCGTCGGCGGGTCTTCAAATCTGACAAACTCCGCCGACCGATCGACAGCACCATTTCACTGCGGAGACTTTGCTGGCTTCGGCTTGGGCATCTGCATCGCACACCTACCCAGTGGCTACCACGACGTGCTCTATTCGCGACCGAAGGCGTGGGATGGAAGCGACGATAAGGAGGTCAGTGTTAAAGTTGGATCCAATGCATTAAGACGCAAACGTTGAAGCTGGCTGTTGTCGGGTGTTCCCAACTCCCGGGTTGGGGACCAAAGGATTTTGAGCACATCTGGTTGCAAACGCCATTAGATTTGGCCAAGGACCGTACGCAATGGCGCACTTGCTGTGAGACTCTTCTACCCTAACAGTTGTTTTCTTTTTCAATCTACCTTTTTCCTCTTATGTATTGTGGCAATCAACCAATTGTAACGTCATTGGCAAAGTGCTGAATATATATATATATATATATATATATATATATATATATATATATATATATATATATATATATATATATATATATATATATATATATATATATATGGTTGGCGGCATCCGGTTTCGGATTTGCCTGTCACTGTGGCAAGCCACAGGACGCCTGCGCCTACAGAGGGACCATGGGTGGCTTGCGCTGCACCACCCACAGCTCCAACCACACACCCCATATCCAGTGTAAACCCGAAGGAATAAGACCGGGAGGCATGTGGATGGGAACCACGTTTCATCAACGGAGCCAGCCCACACTCCTTCACAGACAAACACAAGCACACAGTATTTGGGGAATCAAGCGCACACAAGGCGGTGGCTGGACCGTAGTCCGTTCCACACTGACTGCATGGAACCACTCTTCGAGCCTAGCACGGCCACAAGGACCGTGCACCCCGTCCCCCCCAGCAACGACCAACTGTCTCCTGGAGCCAGTATGGGCGAGGTAGTGGGTAATAGACAGGTAGGCACCTTGTCAACATGCACATCAAGCGCAGCCACACCGGGGATAGCACGCAGCAGCCAATCACTTGAAACGACAAAAGGAAATAACATAAATCCAATAATGCATACAGATACGGTGGCATAACTCTTCGCTAAGTTAGCATATGAAGTAAGTTGCATAGCAATGAATCCGTGATAAGGAAAAAATGTCCACAAGTTACTCAAAAATGCTACAAACGCAACAAAATTACCGAAGATAAGCGCAGTTAGCGTAAGCGACGTGGCCAGCTAATAGAAGACTATTCAGATAAGCAAAACTAACCAAATAGACTGGAATGAAATTTATGCAGCTTAAAGAGACCTAGTTTAAGTGTAAGTTGGTTTAGCCCAACTGCGGTGAAGAAGCATCAAGAATGCAACATCAGCCTCAGCATGTACATACATACATACATGGTTGGCGGCATCCGGTTTCGGATTTGCCTGTCACTGTGGCAAGCCACAGGACGCCTGCGCCTACAGAGGGACCATGGATGGCTTGCGCTGCACCACCCACAGCTCCAACCACATACCCCATATCCAGTGTAAACCCGAAGGAATAAGACCGGGAGGCATGCGGATGGGAACCACGTTTCATCAACGGAGCCGGCCCACACTCCTTCACAGGCAAAGACAAGCACACTGTAGTTGGGGAATCAAGCGCACACAAGGCGGTGGCTGGACCGTAGTCCGTTCCACACTGACTGCATGGAACCACTCTTTGATCCTAACACGGCCACAAGGACCGTGCACCCCGTCCCCTCCAGCAACGACCAACTGTCTCCTGGAGCCAGTATGGGCGAGGTAGTGGGTAATAGACAGGTAGGCACCTTGTCAACATACACATCAAGCGCATCCACACCGGGGATTTCAAACAACAGCCAAACACTTGAGAGAGAGAGAAAGAAAAAGAGAAAGAGAAAAACTCGATTAATGCATAAGGAAACGGTGATATAAACCTTAATTAAATAGCATACGTAATAAGTTGTTTACAAACAAATCCTAGCTAAGTGCACGAGGTCAGGAAATATAGTTCACGGAATGCCAAGAACACAAAAATGCTACGGAAATCGAATACAATTGGCTTAGGCGAGGTGTGTAAATTAATGGAATAGAGAACGGGTAGACATTTATATGAGAAAGAAAAGCATTAAGGTAAAAACTGCAAACCCACCACCTGAAATATATATATATATATATATATATATATATATGTATTGCAGAGTGGTGTAAGGCAAGGCATCCGGAGTATGCCGGTGTGCCGCGTTGACGCTTCACTGCCCCGCGACCACCACTAGTGGTGTGCGAGAGCTGGGGATGCTGCGGGGATCGGCTGCAGCTACGCGGATTCGAACAGATGACCTTCGAACTACAAGGCGGATGCTGATCATGGGACGGCTATGATACCAAGACGTTTGTTAGGCACAAAATAAACGCTATTTCGCCAAGATACGGATACCTTTGGTAGCCAATATTCTGAAAATGGGATGCGATTAGTCGTAGCGCCCGACGGTTGCAGCGTGGTTTACACAAACCAAAATATAGTTGTCGTTTAGGGTAAATGGTAGCTTAGAAAACAGCTACTTACAAACGGACGAGAACCTCAGTTAAGAATTGAGATGTGATGGATGTGCACAAAGTGCTCCATACGATGAATCTAAAGATGCGGACGAAGAGGTATCAAGCAAGCAACATAACATCGACGCTCGATAATACCGCATAAATAACCACAACATCGGCCCATAGGAAAAAGGGTATTGATCAAACTCACACTTCATGCCGGCAAAAGTGACGAGACTGGGCTGAATTGTGGCGACGTGCTGCAAATCTGGAAAGCGAGGTAGAGGTAGACAAAGTGGAGGAACGCTGCGACATCATGCAGAGGAAAAGTCAACAGTAAGAAGCAAGGCGGTAGACATGAGAGACAACATCATCGTTTGCTTTGCGAGTGACAGTGTCGGATTATGAAGCCGAGAGCAAAAGGGGGTTGGGAAATACAGAATGGGGAAGCAAAAAAACGACATAGCTCACCAGTACTTTGCAGCGCGGGCTCAACGTGCGAGGCAAATGTATTGTAAGTTATATTAAGCCTGGAAAAAAGGATGAAAGTGGAAAATGCAATCGAACACTAATATTTATCATCTAATTCGGTCAATCAGTGCAGAAGAAATGAGGTCAGGTAGTACCAAGCGGGTATAGGCTCAACATTGGTGTACTGTCTAGTCTCTAAGATTCCAAAGTAAGTTGTTGTGAAACTTATGTCTGTTCATAACATAAAACCAGATAGACCCTATGGAGATAAAACCGTCAGTCGGTAAGTTAAAACGATGACTCTGACAAGGTAGACGATTAGAGGCCAATTTGCTTGACACCTATTTTGGCCAAGGTTGCGGAGAAGATTGTGAAGAAGCGTTTGCTACAGCTGCTACGGTCAAAAGATCTCCTGATACTCGTATAGTACTGTTCCATATCACGTCGTTCGTGCATCACCAACCTGCACGTGACGAGACATGAATGGTTACAAGCAGTGAACCAGGGGAAATCCGTCGACGTCATCTACATGGATTTTAGCAAAGGGTTCGACAAGGTGAACCACGAAGTCCTTCTCTACAATCTGAGAGTGTGCGGTGGTGGCAGCCCACTATACCACTGGATGCGCGAGATTCTCTTTGATCGAAATTAGAGGGCACAAGTCGATAGCCACCTGACCGGCTGGTATCCTGTAACCAGTGGCGTACTCCAAGGAACAGTACGGGGCCTGCATTGTTCCTGCTTCATATCAACGGTCTAAATCAGCTTCATTGGTCACCCTGTGCCTGATTGTGGATGATCTGAAGATGTGGAGAGTGATAAGCACTTCTGACCACTGCGGCCTACTTCAGTAAAATCTCAACCGCCTTTCCATGTCGTCTGCAGAAGTCCGCCTTACAGTCAACCCATCCAATTCGGTATGGGTGGGTGATGGCGGCCGAATCTACACTCTTTGCGGCCAAATGCTACATCTCACACCTTTCGTGATCTAGTCATACTCTCACATTGCGATTTGAAGTCTGCAAACAGGATATTATGTAATGTACTGCACGTGCTCCGGGCGTTCAAATGCAGCTTCTGCATGTGGTTTGAAGAGGTCGCCACTCGTCACTTCACTTCCATCATAAGGCCAACGGTAGAGTACGGCTGGCCTACCTATTAGCCCACCATTCGAGGCGAGGCGCAGAAAATCCAGCACGTCGCTATTAGATTCAGCCCCAGTTTGCGGGGCTTACCGTACTGAGATAAATGCGAGAGGCTAGAACCTTACATCCCGACCTATCGTTGGGTGAGAGTCCACCTCATCATGATCTACCGCATGATGTATGCGTTTTCCTCAATGCGGAGGCTACTGTTCCACTTGCGAACGCCTTGGAGCACACGCGGACACCGGTACACGCTAGTAATTTCAGATCTGAAGCAAATTCCCCATCCTGTGTGCTTTGAACGGCGAGTGGTCAATGCTTGGCACAGTTTTTCGCAGCAAATAGTTGAAGCAAACTCAATGCAGCAGGCAAAGGCATCGTTGGATGTACATTTCTTCATGTTAAATTCAGGGAACGATTACTTACTGACATCATACATTTTTGAGTTCTAGTTTACGGTGAGTTAAGCGTATTTTTACGATATCACGTGAAAACTCGAAAAGCCATCATGGCGTTGACTGGTCATAGATTATCTTGCATTTATTTAATGATTATGATCACATTTCGATGGGGTTGTACAAAGTTTAATTACTACTTGCTCTCATAACAGGTGGGGTGGGCAAGCGGGGTGATTCCATCCAGTGTGCAGCGGGCTACGTCCGGCTAGTGCCTTGTGCATGTCTGGTACGCATCACTCCCAAATGTGATAGACAGGATTGCTGCTGGTGTGCCTGTTAAAAGTGTTGGTCGGCTCCGTTGATGTAACGTCGATTTCATCCACATGCCTCCCGGTCCTATTCCTTCTGGTTTACACTGGATATGGGTTGTGTGGATGGAACTGTGGGTGGTGCAGCGCAAGCCACCCATAGACACTCAGTAGGCGCAGGCGACCTGTGGCTTCCCCATGAAGGTCGCATTGACAGGCAAATCCGGAACCGGATGCCACCAACCATACAGCGGGATGGATAAGTGTAAACATGCTACCGCTGACGCTTCCCCTCTTTCTCTTTCCTCCGCACATCATCTTCCCGTCCCCGTTTCCCACAGCTCACGACCTTCTCTAATCCAGCTAACCACGTGTGCGATTGCCTAACGCCGCAATCGTACGCCTCCGCGCAAAGCGCTTAACATCCACGGCTGAAACATGTGCATACTACTCGACCGGAGCTCGAGTGAGTGTCCGGAGCGATGCACGGCACTGGTCATGATGGAGCTCGCGCGCTTCGGGATCGATATCGCCGCACCTAGTCAGACATGGCTCACAGACCAAGGCAAGTTGCTTAAGGCTGGTGCTGGTTACACGTTCTAATGGGTGTGAAACGTCATCACAGCACCACGTGAACATGGAGTCGGATTTTCTTATTTGGGAATCATGGGTAGTAGACGTGTAAAAGGCGCTAGCCGGGCCGTGGCCCGCTTTACACTGGATGGAACTACCCCGTCCCCGGCAAAGAACAGCAGCCTCCTAGGTTCAGTAATGAAAGTGGAAGGCGTTAGGCAAGCAAGTACCTCGCCAAAATTCACATCAAGCGTAGCCACACAAGGGGATATCAACCAACAGCTAATATTTGAAATGTAAGAAACTCAGCATACGTACACACGTACAGATTAACTGCAGCGGTGATGTATCACACGTACCAAATCAACCGCCTAGTTGATCTAGGTTAGTAAATTGGATCAAAAGAAGCGTACCTACCAAGTGCTGCGCTTATAATGAATACCTATTCAACTAACCTGTCGCCTCTTCGATGTTGGACCCGTGTGGTGATCGCATATGCCACAGCACTATGCGCTCGACGTCAATGCGCTATCCACCATCGCCGCTTATCGCTTCTGCAACTCACGGTTCCTTTCCGCATGCAGTTACCGAATAACTGGGCAATAGCACACTTGATATGCTCTGGACTTCCGCGTCGATCCACTACCACCGATTCCCAACACCTGAAATCAAAATTGGTTCCTGACAAACACGACTTGATCATGTTCTAGTAAACTTCGGTTAACCCGAGTTTCGCTTCAATGCACACAACAGACCATAAAGCATATGTTTCAGTATCCGGGTCGAATAAATGCGGCGAATATTCCAGAGCGACCTCAGGTGCCACAGCAGAAGTATGCAGTCCACTGCATACATGCCACTGCGTCGGAGCACCTCCGTGACTGCAGCTCGGTCACGCTAGACGATACGCATAATACGGCGCAGACACTGTTGATGGGAGCTCCAGATAACGGACATCCTTCCGATAAAGTGTCCAGGTTTCGCTACCGTATAGAAGAACGAACAACACCATTGATTTGTATACCGGCACCTTCGTCCAGACAATGAGTTAGTGGTTGTTCCACACATTTTCCAGCTTTCCAAATGCAGTAGACGAGTTCGATATGCGTATGCGCAGCTCCCTCTTCATCTGAGACTGTATGTAAGAGCAAGTAGAAATGTTTTTGTACAACCCTATGGATTTATGAAAAATCAAAAACATTTAGTAGTGAATCGTCAGCGGTTGTGTTTGTTCAGTTAATCGTTTAAACTTGTTCGGTTAGGAATTCGCAATGGTGCCATTATTTCCGAGTATACGATGTCTTCTTTTGGCATTGCATGTGCATCGTTTCACAAAAGCGGTTTTCCGAAATAATCGTCGATACGTGTTGTAAAACACTTCAGAGAATCGACTTCTGTTAGTCCTGATAGTGTATTCCGTAAGTTTACGATTCTTCGTTCTATACAAAGCTGATGTGATACTTTGTTCATGCAGGGGACCCTGAGTTTGTAACGGTGTCCTCAGGTGTTACAGGGTTCCCGCAGGTGAAATATCGGCCACAGTATTATTCGATAAGTCATAGTAAGGTCAATTCTTACTCGGCGGTAGGATAGCGTGTAGAGTCCAAGCCTTTCACGTTCTTCATACGGAAGCTTTCGTAGACTCGGTATCATTCTTGTTGCGGTATGCCGTTTTTTCCCCCCAGCTTTTCAGTTTTCCACTGGGTTATCGGATGGTAAGCTGGGACGCCGCATTCAAGAATCGGTCTGTGAGCGAGGTGATTAGGCGAGGGACGGTTTCTTCGGACCATGTGGAGAAATTGCGTCGTAATGCCCAGATCATACGAAGTCCCACATGGTACAGTTTCTCTGTATTTTCTAGTGACCTCATAGCATGTCGCAAGAGGACTCCTAACTCTCTGACAGATGTGCTAGGGTGGAGCAACTGGCCGTTTAAAGTGTATGCTCGAGTGGCTGGACGTCTGGTGATACTGATGAACTCCGACTTGTTAGCGTTAAGAGTGAGTTGAATTGCAGTGGACCACTTTGACAGTCGATCCAAGTCATTCTGGAGGCAAGCGCAGTCGTCCTGATTCACAATGATCCTCCAGATTTGCAAATCAACCGCAAACAGGGCACATGTGATTGGAGCTGCTGCGGAAGATCGTTGGTATGAACAAGAAATAATACCCGCCCAAGTACAGTTCTTTGAGGCATGCTATTGGTCGATGGGAACCAGTCTGTGAGGTAGTCATTAACTTGTACACTAAACTTTCGTCCCATAATAAACTCGTGTAACCAAGGAAGTGGCGTGCCACCGATTCCGTAGGTCCTCAGTTTACGAAGGAGTACCTCGTGGTTCACTCTGTCAAACGCCTTACTAAAGTCAATGTACACCACGTCAACATCCTTCTGTTCATTGAGAGCTCCTACCCAATGGTGGTTTGCGCACATCAATTTGGTGATGCAGGATCGTCTTTTCGTGAGGCCCCGTTGCGCGGGCGAAAATAAGTCCATCGATTCGAAGAACGACAGCAGACACTTTGTCACAATCTTCTCGAGAACTTTGGATAACAACGAAGTCGATAGGTCGATAAACTACGTTGCTTAGATAGCAAAATCTCGAAGTGGATTCCAAAAGGTTGTTGCCAATATATGGGTGGCGGTATCCGGTTCCGGATTTGCCTGTCACTGCGACCTCCACAGGATCAGCCACAGGTCGCCTGCGCCTACAGAGGGACCATCATCATCATCATCATCATCATCATCATTACACGTTAGCTGGAGGTGGAAAACACCTCAGCTATTGTGCCGCATTACAAAAGACAATAAAAGGAAAAGCGTGGCAAGCCGGCTGAATTCCCAGTAACGGATGGACATCGTTCCGGAGAGCTAACAGCTGGCTGCCGTAAAAGATAGTCATATTATGCCTAACAAGTGAGATCGTGATTGCAGGGGGATGCCCTGCTTAGCATCCTTCTCCAATGGGGGAATGGACAAAGGAACTCACAACACAAACGCCATTGGGGCCGGCTCCAAGCCATATCAGCAAGTGTGTCCAACAAAACGTGTTCACCGTCCTTAGGACCCCAGCCAGGCAGTCGGGATGCACCAACCGATGCCAACTTCGAAGTGAGGGTTTTCATTTCTCTCGACCAAGTCATCGCTTGGCCTCTCCTCCTCCTCTTCCAACCGCACCCACAACGCGCATGTCGCGGGAGTCGGTGTGCTGGCATGCGCAACACGTGGCCCAGCCATCGGAGCCTGGTGCGTGATATAATGGTGCTGAGCGGTTCACTCGCTCTTCCTGAACCAAATACACGACGTCGAACACGCCCATTGCTCATGCGGTGCTCCCAGCAGACCTGAGCTAAGCTGCGAAGGCAGCGATGATCGAATATGACGAGCCTCTGTCGACCTGATGGGCCAGGTTTCACAGCCATATAGGAGAGTTGAACGGACGGCTGCGTTGTAAACTCTGCCCTTCAGGGCGAGAGTAATGTCGCATCTGCGCCACAGGTGGCGGAGATTGGTAAAAGCACCTCGAGGGACCATGGGTGGATTGCGCTGTACCACCCACAGCTCCATCCACATACCCCATATCCAGTGAAAACCAAAAGGAATAAGATCAAGAGTTATGTGGATGGGGCCTATATCATCAACGGTGTAGACCCACCCACAATCAAAGGCAAACACAATCACGCCGCGTTTGGGGAATCAAGCGAACAAAAAGCGGCGGGTGAGTCTTAGCCCTTAACACACTGGATGGAATCACTTTTCGGGCCTAGCACGGCCACGAGGACCGTGCTCCCCGTCTCCTCCAACAACGACCAGTCTCCTGGAGCCAGTAACAACTCAAAAATCAACAACAGCAGTACATCAACCATTTGAACTAATGCTTCGCTGCCATACAACTATGATGACTTATGGAATAACGAGTAAGAAGTGGGAGAGAAGGGGGACTTACCTGAAAACATTAATGTCCTAAGCAAACATTCAGGGTCAAGGCGCCTACACTTGTGTAGACACCATACCATCACAAACAGCTGGCTATCGTGCAAAGATAAGTCAGCATCGGCGAGACAGCTTCTTTGCGGCTTTCACTGCCACGGGTCATAATCAGCCATTACCCCGCAGATAACAGCACCAAAAACACTTTAAACAGGCATTCCGATTAGGAGATGGCAGCAGACGCGCCACTGGTGTCTACTGCGAGCCATATTCTGTAAACTCTCGAATCAAGCACAAGGCGAGTCACGTGGACTCCAGCCCGGAAGGCGAGACGGACCAACGGCACCCAGTTTGGTCGTCAGTGACTTCAACTCCCGCTGCCAAGTCAACTTCTGTCCACCTCGAGCCTTGCGCCACCCTACACCTGGCAGACTAAACAAGGCCCTCCTAGATAAGCGGTGACCAGGCATAAATAACACGTGCACAAGCCAACGCAACTTATTCAATGCTATCTGTTGATCTAGGGAGCTAGCATGATTATCACCACCTAGTACTCGCCTACGCACATCATCGTTGCGGACACGCTGGTGCCATCCGACACCAACAATGGTTCGCAGACCACGATGATCAAAGACTTGAAGGCGCATCTGATCTTCAGACGGAAGGGGCCAAGTCTCACTATCATTGAGCAGAAGGGCCCTCACTGTGGCCTTGTATACACGGCCTTTCAGACGGAGGGAAACACCCTTCTGTCGCCAAAGACGCCGCAGGCTCAAGAAGGCAGTTGTGGCCTTTGCAATGCGTGAACTGACTTCAGTTTCTATGTGCCCATCGTTGTTGATGCAGTTGCCAAGGTAAGTGAATTGATCAACCACCTCGAGTTCCTCGTTAGCAAGGGTTAAGGGGTCACAAAGTGGCTGGTAGTTCTGCAACAACACTTTGTACTTTAAAGGTGCGAAGTGCATACCAAATTATGGGACTACTCTGGATAGGCTATTCAGGGTTGATTGGGCCGCCGCAACATTGTCGAAAAGCAAGACGATATCGTCCGCATAATCAAGATCAACTAATCTTTCACCAGGCATGGTCTCAACGCCTACATCTCTTTTCCGCATGCAGTTATCGGGCAACTGGGTAACCGCACTATTGATATGCTGTCGATATCGTCGTCGATTCACTACCATCGATTCCCAACACCTGAAATCAAATTTAGTTCGTGATAAACACGACTTGATCATGTCCTAGTAAATTTCGGTTTGCCCGTTTCGCTTCAATGCGCGCAATTGGCCATGAAGCATACATTTCAGCATCCGGGTAGAATACATGCGGCGAACAGTCCCGCGCCACCACAGCATAAGTATGAAGTCCACTTAATGGATGCCATTGCGACAGAGCACTTGTGTGTCAGCAGCTTTGTCACTCCAGCCGACGCGCGGAATACGACGCAGACATCGTTGACAGAAGCGCTCCAGATAACGGACGCCCTCCGGTAAAGCGTCTAGGCGTCACTGCCGTATGGAAGAACGGATAGAACGATCCACTTTTATACCATCAGCTTCGTCGCAATGGTCAGATGAGGATTGCTTCACAACTGACTCTCTAGCTTTCCAAATGTGGCAGGCGCCTTCACTACGCGGATGCGCAGTTGCTTATCATCTGTCAGTCTGTAGTGAGGAGTGGGGGTCGTCGCTGTGGTCCGTTGTTCGAGATGAAGGTATCCGGTAGTTTAGTCGTGCGACATTGAAGCTAAGCCGAAGATGTTTACACGCATGCCATTCACCACTGGAAACCGGCATTCCAAATAGAAAACCACCACGTAAATGTCGACAAATAGCTCTTGGATGAGTGGTTTTTAAAATAGAAACACGAGGCCAGAAGAAAGGTTGAATATGGTTATAATTTATAATTTTTTTAAGAAGATGAGGCGAAACCGTTTAACCTGAAATGGGCACTTTCACAGTTGATCTGAGTAAATTAAACTTTTCCGCAGTTTCATGATAGAAGTGGACAGTCAGCAATAGTTTATCTGTTGTTATGGAAGGGACTGAGTTGCGCGTGTGGATATCTCCGTAGACTCACTTAGGAATTCCACTGACGAAGTCGCGAAACAGTAGATTGTATCGGCTGTAACCGAGACCGATATAAGCTGACTTAAATGGATCATAATCGAAGCCATCATTGCTCCTGACAGTAGTGGGACATTCGTAAATATTATGTTGACCAGGTGGATGAAGCGTTGCTCCGGTTAACAAATCGACTGATAACCAATGGTCCGTTTTAGATCCTGTGACGAACGAAAACGGTAGAAGACTGTGTTGCAATGTGGCCACACAGTGAACAGAAACCGAAAGCGAGAATGTGAATGCCCATTCCGTGCTTCAGGCTGAACATCGAACTAGAAGAGAATGTATAAAGGGTGCTAGAGCAATTTGTGAAAAATGCAGCGAACGCCAGGGCACAAACAGAGTGAGAAAGGAGGCATAAGGCTTTCGGAAGCACATAATTTTCTAATAAGTGAAGTGCTAGCGATGGATTGGTCGAGAGACATGAAAATCCTCAATTCGAAACTGGCGTCAGTTGGTGCATCCCGACTGTCTGGCTGGGGTCCTAAGGACGATGAACAAGTTTGGATGGACACTTGCTGATATGGTGAAGAGCCGGCCCATATGGCGTTTGCGTTGAGCGTTTCTTTTCCATCTCCACTCCCCTTTAAATTTCCCCTCCAATACCGATCTCATCCGAAATACACAATATAATATGTAACAGTATATTAATTACTTTGAAGTTTTTGTAAGGTAATCCGTTAATATGTTAACGCTTTGTATAGCGGCACATTAGATGAAGAGTGTTTCACACCCTCAGTTAACGTGTATTGACGATGAGTATGTGAAGTAACAGTTTCGAGAAATTCAGATGCAAACACTCGTTTTAACCCTCGTGAGCACTGTCGCAAACGTCGCGGTTTTCCTGATTCCAAACTGACAACCTTGTGCGGAAATCCTTACGTCTTCCTTGCATTTAATTCATCTTAAAACGTCTGTATTAAATACTTGCAATTTATGACAAAGCAAAATGAGGCAACAATAGTAATCAAAAGACAACAAAAAAGTTGCAAAAAGAAGAGTTGACGTTCGAATGGGGCTACAACTTCATCCGAAATGATGGCATTTTGCAGCCGGCTATCATTTAAGCACATGCAGAATAACCATCACAAAAACAAAGGACACTCAAGGTAGCCGAATCTATGAGCAAAAAACGATGATCCAGTGGCAATCAAAATCCAACAAAATATAGAACAAGACGACGGAGTAAGAACGAAGAGACGCGGAGCAATAATCAAAAACATTATCTAACAAATACTATCAAGGTTGGAAATAACATTTATCGCGCGCTGCATGAACGATTAAAATACTTATATTAGGGTAAAAAGAAGTAAAACCGGATAATGCTGTAATCCACCAAGTAAGGCTATCTTCATACACGGAACGGGTATGGAGATGATAGCGAAGCGTTAACGACCTGCATAAAAGGATGCATGTTCCCAATCTGTGTGCAACACATGAAATAAGAAGTACCCGTGGACGACCTCCCCCCCCCGTTCATTTGTCGCCAAGCACTGTTGTCTCTTACCAGCTGATTCCTGTTTATATGATTCTATTCCCGATGGTTTCGTCGACACCCAGAGAGCTCGCCCAGTGGCCTCGGTCCACGACGTTCCGTTTGGCATGCTTCAATGTAGGTACACTCATGCAGATCGGGCAGCAGACTGGTCTTGTGCGCACTTTGGAATCTCTCGGCATCGATGTTGACTGTCTTTCCGAAACACACTTACAAGATTCCAGTATTGTGATTGAGTTGAGATCTCCCACCGACCACGGAGCCAAATTTCACCCACGTCTATCTGGTGACACAGAAGCAGATGGGGCAGACTTGGCTGGCGCTGGTGTAGCGCTGAACAGCAAATCCGAGGCCGTACTGCTGGACTTGGTCCCCGGTTAATAGCCGATGGTCCACAGTTCGACCTCGGGTACCATGCAGGATAAACAGACGTCGTGACGAGATGTGCAACTTTTTGTGAGCTCAGCTTACGCCACAACTGACTGCAGCTGCGACTCGGTCAAGGACAATTTCTATCGCGAACATCATCAGCTCTTGAATAGAGTTTGCGAATCCGATATTGTTTTTCTTGCTGGGGATCTTAACGTACAGGATGGTCGTTTATCATCATGCGAAAGTCACCTCGGCGGTCACCTTGCGCTCGACGAGAGCCGCTCATATAATAGAGAGACTTTTCACACCGTGAAGACAATCATCTGACTCTCTCGAGCGGCAGCTTCTAGCATTCGAGGAGACTTTTCGCTACTTAGCGGCTCCATTCTGTATCACAGACTGATTATATGGCAATCGGTTAAAGATGGCGAGGTAGTGTAAAGCATTGCAGATCAATCTGGTCCAAAGTTAGTGACTCAAACCAACCTCTTGTCTGTGCGAACATCTATATGAGTTTCGGATGGCCCCTGAAAAGGAAGCATTGTAATGTAGATACAAATAAGTTAGCTACTGTCTCGGTTCAGCAAAGGCATTACCTTTCCCTCGCCGGTGTACTCAGTTGCGACCCACCGCAAGACATTGAAGACTAGACGTTCATGCAAAAGACCATGATCACTTCCAGGCAGTTAATCTGTGGTCTCACTCAGGACTCTATGAAGGTCTGGATATCCATGCAATCCTTGGATCTATTTGACCGCCGCAGAAATATCCCAGCGGCGATATATTGATAATGAAGTGCGCCGTTATGTCAGTCGGTAGCTCAAACAAAGTCTGCGCAGTGATCGTGAAGCCTGGTGACCACAGCTTGATTCGGAAGTGGAGGCCGCTGCCCCCTCAAGCAATACTCGCAAGCTCTTCCAGCTCATTCGATCCACTGGCCACAGAAAGCCAGGTGTCAGTGAATCTATTTGAGAAGCAGATGGATCAATCATTGCCAACCTACAGAGACGCTTGTATTGATAAGCCGAACATTTTCATATGGTTGGCGGCATCCGGTTTCGGATTTGCCTGTCACTGTGGCTTCCACAGGACGCCTGCGCCTACAGAGGGACCATGGATGGCTGGCGCTGCACCACCCACAGCTCCATCCACACACCCCATATCCAGTGTAAACCCGAAGGAATAAGACCAGGAGGCATGCGGATGGGAGCCACGTTTCATCAACGGAGCCGGCCCACACTCCTTCACAGACAAACACAAGCATGCTGTATTTGGGGAATCAAACACACACAAGGCGGTGGCTGGACCGTAGTCTGCTCCACACTGAGTGCATGGAATCACTCTTTGACCCTAACATGACCACAAGGACCGTGCACCCCGTCCCCTCCAGCAACGACCAACTGTCTCCTGGAGACAGTATGGATGAGGTAGTGGGTAATAGACAGGTAGGCACCTTGTCAACATGCACATCAAGCACAGCCACATCTGGAATATCAAGCAACAGCTAATCATTCGAAATGCCGATATCGATTAAAGTAAACGCATATGACGACATAAATACCCGCTAAATGAGCATATAGAAGAAATTGGTTATAAGTGAATCATTCGTGATAAGTAGAAAATGTCCGAGAGTTAGTTAAAAAATACCACGCGATAAAATTACGCAAGTTTACCACAATTTGCGTGAGGGACGTGTGCAAGTAAGGGGAAGATTATCAAGTAGGCAGAACAAACCAAATAACATGTAATGAATTTTATCCACATTAAAAAGACCTAGTTCATATATATATATATATATATATATATATATATATATATATATATGCATGCAACATCAGCCTCAGCATGGGGCTAAACCAGCTTACATTTAAACTAGATCTTTTTAATGTGGATAAAATTCATTCCACTTTTTTGGTTTATTCTGCGTACTTGATAATCTTCTTACTTGCACACGTCACTCATGCCATTCGTGATAACCTTGCGTAACTTTATCACGTGGTAATTATTAAATAACTTTCGGACATTTCGTGCTTATCGCGGATTCGCTTAGAACAAATTCACTCCAAACGCTCATTTAGCGAGTATTTATGTCGTCATATGCATTTACTTTAATCGATATCGGCATTTCGAATGATTAGCTGTTGCTTGATATTCCAGATGTGGCTGTGCTTGATGTGCATGTTGACAAGGTGCCTACCTGTCTATTACCCACTACCTCATCCATACTGTCTCCAGGAGACAGTTGGTCGTTGCTGGAGGGGACAGGGTGCACGGTCCTTGTGGTCGTCTTAGGGTCAAAGAGTGGTTCCGTGCACTCAGTGTGGAGCGGACTACGGTCCAGCCACCGCCTTGCATGCACTTGATCCCCCAAATACAGCGTGCTTGTGTTTGTCTGTGAAGGAGTGTGGGCCGGCTCCGTTGATGAAACGTGGTTCCCATCCGCATGCCTCCCGGTCTTATTGCTTCGGGTTTACACTGGATATGGCGTGCGTGGATGGAGCTGTGGGTGGTGCAGCGCAAGCCACCCGTGGTCCCTCTGTAGGCGCAGGCGTCCTGTGGCTGGTCACTGTGACAGGCAAATCCGAAACTGGATGTCTCCCATCATATATATATATATATATATATATATATATATATATATATTATTATATATATATATATATATATATATATATATATATACAAAGTCTAGAAATAGACACTGAGTCTTCAAAAAGCCATAAGGAACAAAATTAAAAAAGTACAAATGCCAGCAACAGCGAACAAATATTTCGAGCTTTTTGCTTTCTTTCGTTTGTTTTCACACACCATGTTGTTCCCTTTTTTCCATTTTGATTGGTATGGCCCTAAGCACACTGTTCAAAGTAATTCAAAGTCCAGTCCTTCCATTGATTCCGGTTTCGCGCCATCTCGCCACGTGTGTTGAGCCACTGGCAGTCCTCATCTTTGGGTCTCCAACCATGAAGACGTACTGGGCTGACGACTGAGATAGGTCAGTGGTTGCATGCTTTGCCGCCAAGTGGTTGGCTGACCTTAACGCATTCTCTTCCAGTTCAATCCCGTGCGAACAAATAAGGCGCGGCGTGATAAGCGCTCGCATGACATATGTAGAATGTGGCCAAGTCACCTCAACTGACGCATTGCGACATGGCGATTAAGCAGAAGGCTCATGTTTTCCAAGACGCGATATCGAACTCCATCGTTACGAACCCGGTACTGCAATCATACACAGGCGATCCGCCGCAAACATGTGTTGTCGAAGGCCGAAAGCCTACGTATGTCATCTATACGAAT